AAGAAAATCATATTTATAAAATTATAGTGTACAATTATTCAGTAGTGTATCATGATCAGTGTGCCAACTTCAAGTACATAATAGTTATTGCAATTGTTGACTTCACCTGATCAATTTGTTATATTATGTGTCAATTATGCAGTCACCATTATATAAAATTCAATATATCTTCTTACCTTAATTCTGAGACCTCTGATTGGAGCAGTTGGCTGCATTGTGTCCTCTTTTGATGGCGGATGTAAATGCAACGTGTTCAAAACTTTTCCCAGTGTCTTGTAGCTTGTAGTCTTGCCACTACCTGACGCACCAACTAAAACAACCCCCGACTTCTGTTGTAAACTTTCATACAATTGTAGAATCTGGAAATTAAGCAATGTAATGTGTTTACTGAGATTGCAAACATTTATATTCAGTTGGATAACTTCAAGTATGACTACAATTTAAGTAAACCATACACATTTAGCATACTGTACTTACCTTTGACACATGCTGTGGGGTGGCCTGCAGCTGATCTGTAACTAATTGTTCTTGGATAGCACTCACTAATGCTGGGTCATGTTCTTGAGCTGAGGCTGGACGACTACTGTGTGGGAACACTGTACGTATTGCTTGTTTCACAACCTGTAGGGCCTCTACGCAATGCAGTCTAGACAATAATGTTTTCTGTACTCCAAATAAGAGCGCTGCCTCCTCACGAATACTGTCATCATCAAATTCTGAGATGTCAGTGCCATCAAAAATGTCATTTTCTGTGAAAATTTGAATAAATAAATAAATCATACTGTCATTTTTTTGGGATTTGAGGAATTCTTTTAAAATACAGTAGCTCTCTCACATGCGGTACTGACAGGTGGGCATGTACCACATAAAGTTTCAAATAACCACATTTGCTCTAAAACCATGTGTGATCTTGGTCAAAAAGGGTACATTTATGTATAGCCTGTTATAATTATCCTAAACTTTTATTGTAGCCAGTCTATGATTAACTTTCAAGATTACCAGCTATGAACAACCCATAAACAGAAAACTTGACCATCCACCATTAAATCCTGTACATATTCTATAGGGGAGATAAGTATAAACATACCACATAAAATAAAGCCTATATTAATTTAATAATAATACAGTAGTGGTGTTACTAGTTACATTCAAAATTGACAAATCATGCGACTTGCAGTCTTAAAATATGCCCAATAAATGCAACACCATCTCCATTAGTGTTTTAAACTACAAATACCACAAGAGAACATATGATAAAAAAGAGCACATGTACTTGTTTTTGCTCACATTTTTTTCTTTATTGAAAAAATACAAATACAGTATTCATGGGCATTAACAAGAATATACATTACCTTCTTGTATCTCTGACACTGAGGGCGCTGCACTGCTTGTGCTCTTCCCACTTCCCAGCTGATGAAGCTGTCTTCTGCCAAAAAGTTTAACTGTAGCTATCTGGATAGAAATTTTCATTGCGCGTAATCCTGGACCAATTGTTCGACTAGAATCATCCGGTAACTACATGACAAGAAAAAAATTAACTGTCAAACAGTGTAAAATACCTCGGTAATAGGTGGAATTTTCAAAATCTATTGGCTTCCAAAATTCCAACAAGGTACAAATTTTTTTATTTCAAGGCTGACAAACTATAAACCAAAATATCACTCACAAATGATCTTGTCCCAATTATTCATGCCTTCAGTGGTTTTGACATTTAAAAATATGAAACTTTTTGTAATATCTCATGTATTCTAAAAACCTGAAAATTGTTTAAAGAATTCTGAAAACTTTTGGAGTTTCCCTGGTACTAACAATTAAATTCTACATGACAACAAATCATCAAACTCACCTGTTTTTCAATTATATCATAAAAAATATTCAGTTTACAAGCCAGTTCTTTGAAACCACCGAAACCTTTATAGCATAAAATGGCTTCCAGGATACGTAATCTATCTGGTTTCACCATGGCAACAGGTCTCATCACCAACTATAAGATAGAACAATGTGCAAATCTGTTTTATAATAGGGAATACTAGCAGACATTGAACACAATAAATAAAATAAATAAATAAAAACATATAATAAATAAATAAAAACAATCAATGAATAAAACACACTTTCTCAAAGACACTATTTGATTTTGATTCTGGCAATGACCCCTACACACACATCCATACTCACCCTCAGACTAAAAGGAATATCCTGACATTTCCTGTCATCGCTGTTTAATGTCATGAAACTTCCAAAGTTACCACCGGCCGTCAGAAGATTACCATTGAATAATAAATTCCCCAGAGAAGTCGGTGTATAGGACCACTTTGACAAATGAGCAAAGCTGGCATCGGTTTTATTTTTGGTCCTCATATACCGTGCTGCGTAGTGACATTTTGGACAGTTAAGCACATTATTAATTAATAAAACCACCATCACCAACACTGTGTTAGTATTTACAGCATATTAGGACCTTAAGATACCACTATTATCATTCGCACACAATTGTTAGCATGTCATAAATTACATTTTTTTTTATCCCTCAGAGTAGTTTGTACACGTGTCAATATGGTTGATTAATACTTACCTCTAAAATATAGCATCTTCTATTGGCATGCATGAGGTTTTTGTCAAGTGACTGTACAATACCCTCTGATTCGTAGAAGTGATTATTTTCTGCATTTCAATAATAGATGATTCCAATACACAATGTGTACAAAGCAGAAAAATAACAACACCTTTGATGAAGTTAGAATTGCCAAAATAAAAAGAATGGTTCCATCAAACCATTATTTTGTTTGACACTGATACAAACCACTCTGAGGTTTCTATTCTAATAACATCACAGACTGTGAAATGATTACTGAGGGAAGTCTTAGTTCACAGTGCAATGATCAGATGTAGTGAAGCTAGAAGAGCTTCCATCAATAACCACAAACAACAGTCTTTTTGTATAAGCATATTGCTACTGTTAGTGAATGGAATTCTTGGAATGAAATACAAAGCATGTAGGAATCAATAATTAAATGATTCGATTGCATGTGATGCAAACTGTGATAAAATCAAATAAGCTAGATGGAAAAGCTATATTGTCTACGGGATTGAAAATAATCAGGATCAGGATTAAAACAAAAAGTCACAGTACAAACCTCTGTATAAAGCTGGGTATAGATGGAAAATATGAAGAAAAAAAAACAATCAAGGAAATAAAAATCTGATTAAATAAACAAATAAAAAGAAATGTAAAAACTATTTACTCAAAATCATTCTGTCAGAATGCATACAGTAATGATGATAAAGGAATGGATTTCAAACAATTACTCTTTATTACATTAAAAAAAATTGTTTTGTGAATAATTTGCTTGAGATTTTGTTCCAACTGCCAAATGGCTGACTGACTGATAAAAAAAACTATAAAAATAGAATTACAAATAGGTAATATAGTAATGTAAATTATGGGGATCGTGATTCAAATTATGCAAATGAGCTAATTAATATACATATCTACTAGAGATTTGCGATATGAATGTAGATGTAGAAGTGATGACAACAATGATTGAGAGTTGATTTTTTTTAAGCATGATCAGCTAATCACAAATTATTTCCTGAATATGTCTAATGTACCGGTACTACCAAAGACTCTCTTTTGAGAGTAAAACAGTTAAATTATATTATAACATGAATGAAACACTGTAGTTATCTGTATATATATATATATATATGTATGAATAATGATGGTATGTATTACTTCAGTAGCACAAACATTTTAAAAATCACAAACACACACAAAAAACACCTTATAAAAACACACTTATTTTTGGAATTCAAAACACACAATGTTATTATTCACTCCAATGGTAGAAAACTGTAATTTGTACCTGGCCCATGCATGTCACCAAATAAGGGTATAGGGCTGATCTCTTCATAGTAGTCCTCTCGTTCAAGATGTACAGCTTTACTGATTGAGTAGCGCCTTTGCCTCACCACGGAAATGTCTTGATAATCTTCCCATTCATCATCGGCATCCTCCTCACCACCAAATGTTTCCTCAAAATAATTAGTCACTGGGCCCTAGATGAACAAATCAGAAAGCATAATGGTTAAATATTATTTGATTTTTACCGATTTCTGAAATTTACCAAAATTTGTCTTTAAATTAAAATTTTGCACTACTCAGCATGTTACTACACATATGTGCAATGCATTATGGGAGATAACTTCAAATTTTGCACTACTGAGCATGTTACTACAGATATGTGCAATGCCTTATGGGTAGAACTTCAAATTTTGCACTACTGAGCATGTTACTACACATATATGCAATGCATTATGGGAGATAACTTCAAATTTTGCACTACTGAGCATCTAGAGACCTGATTTTGTTTTTCATTTTCGGTGTTCTGATGATATGAAATAATGAAAGTATGATTAACATGAGATATAATTTTCAATTTGGATTGGATAATACTGACCTTTGTGTAATTAGGGAATGTCTTTTCTTTTTCCAAGTTTGGTCTTGTCGGTAAGGAATGCAATGTAGTCAAGGAATTCCTCCTTTTAGTTTTTCTTCGCTATAAAGAAAAGAGAAATAAAATATTTATTTTGACTTTACTGATGAACTACTACAGGTATAGAGAGAATCACGATTTCTCAGCTCTTTCTCGGTCAGGAAAAAAATCTGTTTCTAGTATCATTGGAGTTTGAGACTGATGCTCATTTTTTATTCATTTATTTGTTTGAAATATCTTAGCACACAAGGTAGGTGCAACCAACACAAACACTGAAATTTTGATTGAAATGAGAGGTCACTGTGGATTATTCTCAACAAAGTATTTTTTTCCTGGCCTTAGATTACAAAGTTCAAATACAGTTAATACTACTATCACATCCATTAAATAAAAGTCCTATAGCCTGACACTGCTGTAATAGTAATATGACAGTTGCATTCAAAATATAGAAACCTGTACATTAGAAGCATACTCCTACTACTGACAGAATCAATGTACATACTCCCTAAGTACACCAACCTTATCTTGTCTGGTAGTCCCCCTAGTTCCATACTGATTATCCCCTGTAGACTCCAACACTCTGTATGTTTGTTTCAGGTACTCTAGCTCCTGAGCTATCACTGACATCATTTCATATGGCATACGGTCCATGTCATCCCATACTAACCAGCTACCTGCCTGTATGGCACCAGTCAGCAGTCGACTCATCAGGTTAGCATGCAGGGATTCATTGCAATTAAACGTCACGCAGTGCCTTCCCATTGTCTACAAGATTATTATCAGGAATTAGTAAAAGTTGTTTTTTTCATTCAAACATTTCATATGATTAGGTCTAAATATAAGTCAGTTATCAGCAGTTGGTCAATGACATCAATTACACTAGAGAGCACAGCCCAGGGAACTACATGTATGGTGTTGTCTTTATTGTAATGTCTCTTGGAATTTTATAATTCAATGAATGAGATTACGTTTGTATATCATAAAGTTAAAAAAAATGTGAATGTTCACATTAAGAGCAGTAGAACACAAACTAGTAGATCACAAAGAAATCATGTTTTTTGAAAACGAGTGACATAATGGCTATGAATGAGTTTACAGAAGATTCTTTTCTTTGTGACTCAACCCAAAAAACTGATATTACAATATCTTTATTTATTGCTTCTCCAAAGAGAACAGGTCTACACACCAGTACTTATATATAAACAGTAGTATCAGAGTAATCTGTAAACATATGTAATATATCAGGTTGTTACAAATGTGTTACAAAAACTACTGTACTGGTAAATAGCATTAGATCTGGTGTTTTGGAAAGTTTTAGAATACGATTGGACACAACAGAATATGATGCATCAAGAGATGCCACACAAAACATCATTTTATTTCTTTTACCACTTGTCTCTGTATTCTAGTGTATTTGATTTTACCCAAGTGTTTTTTTTTCAGAATAAACAATGCATTTTTAACTGATTTACTGAAAAAACATTACAGTAAAGTACTACCAACTATTGATTTTTCTTATTAAGTGTTGATGTACAACAAAAATCTCACAATTTTGGTAAACATGAAATTTTATATCGTTAAGAAAATACCTGTCTAATACCATACTCACCTTAGCCAGATCTCTTATTGTTTCTGATTTCCCGGTACCAGACGGGCCCATGATAGTTCCACATTGGTGATTCTTCAGCGCCATTGTTAAAGTCATGTGACATCTATCTGTTAAAGGCGTCACAACCAAACGAGAAGTGGGTCCAATGTATTCGTGATCATAAGGAAATGACCCACCTAGCTGATGTAGGTTACATTCACCCAGGATGTAACCAGTTGATACCACAGTGGACATCCTTGGGGCTCTCCTTGGGGTAGAATCATCTGAAATGCAAGTTTTCATAAAATCAGAATCATAACACAAAAGTCTTAGTCACTCACTCTTGGTTATGTGGTTAGCAACCGTAGTATCAGAATGAAATATTTACTAGGTACCTGTTAGAACAGGGACTTTTCAACCAGCACTAATGACAGAAATGACGCGTGAAAGAACCAAAGTTACACATAGTGTTTTGTACACAGTTGATTGAGATGTTGTGTAAACATGAATCAGCTTCTCAATCCTTCCTTTCAAAACAATTTGATGGAATAGCAGTTGTTCCAAATGACATCACAAAGAATAACATCATGTGACTAATTATTCATAAAAATGCTTGATTCAGACAAACAAATTAGTAAACAAAACAAAAAATAGTGATAGAAGTATTCATAACTATGACAGTGTTATAATTTATCAAGGGCTTTGTTCAGGCTATAAACTTGCTTGGAATTTTCAACAAATCACTGAAAAGTCACAGCAAAATAATTTGGAATTCAAAATGTCAGCTTTACTTTGTGAAAGGTGATGATAATTTAATTTGGCATCTAAAATAGTTTTCATTTGAACTATTATTGCGAAATGTTACTGTCACTTATGATTACATCATTCTTATTTGTAGTAAGAACTTGCAATCATGACAAATGCTACAGATTAAAATTTACAAGAAACAACAAGATATTGTAATAAAATCTAAAGTGTTAGTCAATCACTTATGCCTGTCATTGACTGGAGGATGATACAGGCCATGATATGAGCAGATCTGTGAACATAAGCTCATAGTATATTTATCTCACCTGTTGCATCTTCCATGTCTGCTGGTGGTAATGGCTGTGCACATAACACAGACTTCATATCCATGTGGTATCGTAGTACTTTCAACCACTCAAAGCATTTATCACTGGGACTCTCACACAGAAGCAAATCTGTAAAATAGATAAAACAGACATATTAAACAATACATTAAAATTTAGATAATTTATTTGTTTTTCAGAAATTGAAAAAAAAAATTGGTTCAGCTTTATACTTTGTGAAAGATGACAATAATTTACTTTGGTATCAATAATGTTAAACCTTTTGAACTCCAAAGTTAACTATTGTCACCTTTTACAAAAGATATCTGTATATTAAACATTTTCTCTATTTTTAAAAAAAAAATTTTGAACAAGACTTTTAACATTTAGATCATTTAGTTAAAATATAACAAAGAAACAATAGAAAAATGCCTTAAAATGTGGCAGTAAATTTTGGTTGGAAAGAAATTTGGTGTTTACATGGTTTTGATGTGAAGGTAGAGTGAAGGAAATCCCTGGTGACTTACTATCTATAATATCTCTTAGATGTAATCCTTGGTTTAGTAATCCACCCAGTAATACTTGTAGTCTAGCTCTAGTGTGTGACGTCAAGAAATGATGACAATTGTCATGTAGGACACTTAGATATTGATCAAAACGACAATGATAAGAATCTCTGTGAAGAAAAAAAAAAACATTTATTGCATTCCGTGTTAGTGCTGGGTTTGAAAAACTTCTAGCCACTGTGGAGAATTTCGTATGAAGGTTGACCCTTTGAATGCCAATGTTCATTTTTGTACACCTTTCACAAAATTAATCTGCACCATTGTTTCCATATTTTTTAAAATGTTGATCAAAACCTGTTGCTAATCAGAAATGATGGACATCTGGCACAAAATTAACATAGAAATTATAGAAAAATGCACAAAAATGTGTTAAAAGTTGCATTATGCCACTTCAAGAGTTAAACATGTTGTTGCATAAACTGTTAATTCAGTTACTATGACTAATAATGTATTTATTAAATTTATAGTATTTGGCCAAGTTGTACAAGCCAGTGCTAACACAGATATTAATCTGTCATTCTATGTCTAAGTTATTCAGCTCAAGTTCTGACCCCTCGAAATATTAGGGCTGGATACTACAAGCAGATATTAAACTGCAAATAACTTTTGCAAATGTTTTCAATGTACTGACTCAATGATCACCTTAATGAAATTGATTCATTCCTGATGAAATGTCATCGTAAATGCGGAGCTCAGTGAAAGCAAATCAATTTCATGAATGCATGAATAAACCAGAGCATTTAATTAGCCATCATTCTACTGGAACATCTAATTACCATGCTTGACATTAGTAAGAGGTTACGTCATGTCATGGAATTATCTTTTTATTTACCCAAAGGAATATCAACCAACAAACTGTGTTCTTCATTCCAGTGCAATTATACCTTATTTTTTCTAATTCTTCTTGACTTTTGCTGGATTTCAGTGCATTGTGAACTTCTTTTTCCCAGAATAATGCTTCTGTTGTCAAGACAACCTGAGCTGGGAATCGTAACAACCAATGTCTGTAGCTATGTTTCACAGCTTCACTCAATTCTTTGCTCTCTTGGTCATTGTTTTCAAATGCAGACAACTCTTCTAATATCTTCCCTGGGAAACTCAGACCTACATTATAAAGAAGAGCATCATGTTTTCAGATTAGTGTACATATAGATACATAGTAGTATACTAAATACATGAATTATGTATCTTTACAGCACCATGTGCAAAATTATGTAACTGTACAGCACTATGTGCACAATTATGTAACTGTACAGTACTATGTGCAAAATTATGTAACTGTACAGCACTATGTGCAAAATTATGTAACTGTACAGTACTATGTGCAAAATTATGTAACTGTACAGCACTATATGCAAAACTAGTACTATGTGCACAATTATGTAACTGTACAACAGTATGTACAAAATTATGTAACTGTACAGTACTATGTGAAAAATTATGTAACTGTGCAGCACTATGTGCAAAATTATGTAACTGTACAGTACTATGTGCAAAATTATGTAACTGTACAGTACTATGTGCAAAATTATGTAACTGTACAGCACTATATGCAAAACTAGTACTATGTGGAAAAGTATGTAACTGTTCAGCACTATGTACAAAATTAGTACTATGTGCAAAATTATGTAACTGTACAGCACTATGTGCATAATTATGTAACTGTACAGCACTATGTGCACAATTAGTACTATGTGCAAAATTATGTAACTGTACAGCACTATGTGCAAAATTATGTAACTGTACAGCACTATGTGCACAATTATGTAACTGTACAGCACTATGTGCAAAATTATGTACTATGCAAAATTATGTAACTGTACAGCACTATGTGCAAAATTATGTAACTGCACAGCACTATGTGCAAAATTATGTACTATGCAAAATTATGTAACTGTACAGCACCATGTGCATAATTATGTAACTGTACAGCACTATGTGCAAAATTAGTACTATGTGCAAAATTATGTAACTGTACAGTACTATGTGCAAAATTAGTACTATGTGCAAAATTATGTAACTGTACAGCACCATGTGCAAAATTATGTAACTGTACAGCACTATGTGCAAAATTAGTACTATGTGCAAAATTATGTAACTGTGCAGCACTATGTGCAAAATTATGTAACTGTACAGCACTATGTGCAACATTATGTAACTGTACAGC